AATTCAAAGCCAGAAGCATCCTCCAAACCCACATTAAAATGCTACATGAAGTTACTTGCTGTCTTAGGTGATCCACACCATCATTCACCTTCATTAATGTGACCAGCTAAGAGTTATAGCTTCTTGTCACTCTATGTTCAGTCTCCTCCTAACATCTCATCCATCTTGCTTGCCACTGCCACATTAATCTTCCTAATACATCTCTTTCATCATGTCTCAATGTGCTGGGTCCCCTCAGCAGTTCTGTTTGCCGTGGGATAAAAGCCAAGCACGTAACCCACAAGGGCAGCCTAGCAGCTGCTATTAATTGAACACCTATGACAAGACGGGCACTGTGCTTGGTGCTTTACATGCACGATCTTCCAGAAAACAGTCGATTACCCCCACTTTACAGATAATGAAACTGAGACGCTGGCAGGTTAAGCAGCTTGCCCATGTTCCCACAGTTAGTAGGTAGCAGAGCCAGAATCCCAAACCAGAGCCACCTGATTCACGAGACTGGACTGCTTTTCTTAGATCCTGGACTTCTCTCTTCCAATCATTTCTTCACCTTTTATGATGATACTGAATGAGCAGTCATCTCTGTGGGCTAGATGTGGATGTGAGGCACCGCCTTCAACCCAGGATTAGAGTTAGGAAGGCCTGCCGGCTAGAGGGTTGCTCCATGTGTCCCTCAGCAAGTCACACCTTGCACTCTGGCTGAGGTTCTTGGAACCTCCTGGCTGTTGAGGACTAGATGACAAGAGCCTCTAATACAGCCGTGGGCAAACTACGGCCCTCGGGCCGGATCCGGCCCGTTTGAAATGAATAAAACTAAAAAAAAAAAAAAGACCGTACCCTTTTATGTAATGATGTTTACTTTGAGTTTATATTAGTTCACACAAACACTCCATCCATGCTTTTGTTCTGGCCCTCCGGTCCAGTTTAAGAACCCATTGTGGCCCTCGAGTCAAAAAGTTTGCCCACCCCTGCAATATCATGCTCAGCGCAGAACAGGGGCTCAGCAAGTGTGCACTGGCCCCGCAGAAAAGGATGAGTGTGGTCCCAGGGCTTCCCGAGTCCTCCTCCAGTCTGCACGGGTCCAGGAGAAGATGGAGGAGCGTTAGGGTGGAGCCAGGAGCTAGTTAGTCTCTGAGGAGCCTCAAGATCCCTTGGCCAAGTAGGAGGCAGCCAGGAGCCAGTCAGACGTGTGCTTCTGCTCCTTCCTGGAACTTACTCCTGTCTCTTCAGACCTTCCTGCACCGCTCAGCCTACCATTTCAGAGAACCTCCTCAAGCCCGAGGCTACAGCCTGTTTCTGTTGTGCTGGGGGTGGTGACTGCTCTCTGGGGACTCCTGAGAACAGTCTGGTAGGAGAGCAGGAGAAAGGGGTCTTCTGCTTTGAACTTCAGGCTGGGGGATTTGCATGTCCTTATCTATAGCTTTTATTCATTCACTCTGCATTTATTCTGGCTCTACCGTGTTCCAAGCATGTGTTTAGGCAGAATAGAGCTTAGGCTGGGAGGGCTGTGAGACCTGGGTCAAATCCTGGCTCTGCACCTTACCATCTGGGTGGCCTAAAGGCCTTCTTTGAATCTCATTTCTTCTTTAAGGGAAAAAAAAGCAAAACTGTGGCTCATAATACTTAATGGCAGGGTTGATGTGAGGTGCAGTAACATGTAAAGAGCCTTATGGTGGCATCTGATGGGTGGTAGGCATTTCACCAGTGGTAGCCTGTTTTTAAATTAAAGTATCATTCATGTAACATAAAATTCACCGGTTTAAAGACTGTACATTTCAGTGGTTCTGAGCACATTCACCGTGTTCTGCGACCATCCGCACTATTTAATGCAGAACTGCCAGCTGTTTTCCACAGTGGCGGCCCCATTTACAGTCCCACAGGAGCGAGCAGGAGTTCCAGTTTCTCCACTTCTCCCAGCACTTGCTATTTTTCTTTCTTTTTTTGATTATAGCCATCCTAGCGAGTGTGACAGTGGTATCTCATTTCACTTTTGATTTACATTTCCCTAAGGACTGATTATTTTGATCATCTTTTCATATGATTATAGTAGCAGCCTCCTTTTTATTATTCTTCCATTAAACATTTTTGTTTGCTGAGTCCCTATTGAAGGTCCAAGCCTAGGATATGGGCCCTGCCCTGAGGCTACTCACAATCCAGTGGAGAAGGTAGATCTTAAAGCAGATCATTGCAACATAGTAAGAAAACAGGCTACAGAGAAGATGTATATAGTAAGTCCTCACTTAGTGTCCTGATGGGTTCTTGAAACTGCTGCAAAACAGGCTGTACCGATACCAGTTTTACCACAGGCTGACTGGTATAAACAAGGGTTAAGTTCCTATGGCAACTCATCACCCTTATCTTTTTCGTGGATTTTTATCTTGTGTCTCCCAACTGGATGCTTAGTCTCTGTGTCCCCCAGGGGCATGCTAGATATCTGCAGTGTAAATTCTCAGCAACTGTTAAGCTCAGACACAGGAGGAGAAGCTCTGGACCTGGTTATACAGCCTTGGTTCTGACACTGTTCAGGCGATGGCACTCGCTTTTGTGACCTTGCACAACGCTGAGCTCTTCTGAATGGGGACCCTGCCTGCCCCGCTGCTGCTGGAGCCCTGGGCCTGACCTCTGCAGGATGGGTTCGGGGACCTCACCATCTGCAACCTCGGTTTCCTCATTGCATTCTGAAAGGGTCGAAGGCGATGATTTGTGCATCATTCTCAGTTTAAATGTTAGTCTGTGATTCTGAGTGATTGCTTCTTTCCACATCAACCTGATCCTGAGCTACAGAGTTTCAGCCCAGGGACAGCATGGCTTGTCATCTCCAGTGTGGTGGCTGCATCTCAGAATCTGCCCTTGAACGTGTCAAACTGAAAGGTTGCCCGGAGCTTGGCCCCAACACATTCGGAAATCCTAACACTTTCCTCTCATCCCTTCCCTTCCCCTCCCTCTTCCACCTCCTCCTCCTCTTCCCACTTCTTCCCCTGCTTGCTCTCTCTCTCTCTCTCTCTCTCTCTCTCTCTCTTCCCCCCCACCCCCTTTCTCTCTCTCTCTCTGTTTTTGTTGTATTTTTCCCCCACATGTGAAAATGCCATTCATCCCATTTCAGGATAACTTCCCTGGGAGTCTTTTCTTTAGGTTTCACCTTTTAGCAGCTTATTGGCTTAAGAGTTATGATAATTTATTGGAAGGAGGCTGTGAGTCTTAGAAAGACCACATCTCCGATGGGTTGTTCATGCCTAACTCATTGGGTATATTTCATGGGCACAAAGAGGAGAACAGGCTTTGTTTGTGAAGACAGAGCCTGGTTCCTCCAGGTAGTGGAAAGGTGGTTTGCTTCTCTGATCAGGAGGAGGGGTTAACAAAGACCACCACTTTTTTTCTTGGGCAGTTCCCTTATACTCTGTTCCTTTCTTAAGTCATTCCTATGTTTTTTAAATTGTATCTTTGCTCAGAAAAATAAAACAATTCCTAGCATGTTGATAATAGCAATTTTAACATGCCATTCATTGAGTGCCTACTGTGTGCCAGGCACTGTGCAGTGAGTTATGTGAATTACTGCTGTTACCCCTCCCACCCCCCACCTCCCCACCCCCCGGGACCTAGGAGACTCCTGAGCTCACTAGACTAAGGCCTGGCCCTTCCTCCTCACCTGTCATAGAGCAGAGGTTCCCACGGAGGTCTCTCTCAGACCGGAGTCCTGCCTCTGACCAGCCAGGCTTCCATTCCTACGATCATTTGGGAAGATTTGGCATTTGACTATATTCTGGAATAGTTACCAGCTTATAAGCTTCCTTCTCAGCTTTACTAACAAGCTGTGAGGAGAGGAGCCTGGCTTGGGGGAGTGTAAGAGCATGTTTAGCACAATCACATGCCCACACACTCACACTCACGCAGACCCTCGAAGGCTGGATTTAACCAGCCGCCTGGCCATGTGCCACCTCCAGCAACAGGCGATGTGCCTGGCACTGCACTGAGGACACAGCAGTGGGGACGTCGGAGGAGGGAAAGACACAGTGGTCCCCAGGGTCCAGCCAGTCCCAGGAAACAAGACCCCAGTGTTCTTACCTCCAGGGGCCGGTTCCGTGCATGTCCAGGTTCCTGCCTCTGGGACTTCCTGTTTGAACTCTTGACATCCACTGTGAGAAAGATCTGGGAAATAAAGTTTGAAATCCAAGCAGGAGAAAAAAAATTCCTTTAGATTATTTGAAGTTGATATGAGGAAGTGGGAAGAAAAAGATATCCTTTTGGAGTCGTGCAGCACTTTACAGTTTGTGGCGCACCTCAGTGTGTGTGGTTACTACACCTGGGTACTGGGCGAGACGCCAGAGGCCTGACTCCTCCACGACCCCTTCCATCTTCATCTGGAAAATGAGAGAGTTGGACCAGTTGGTCGCTCAGGTCCCTCAAACTCTGTCAGCTGTGACCTGGTACCAATAAGACAGCGGGAAACGTCACTTGTTGCTCTTTCTGTATCTGTCTTACCTCAGCCTGTCTGCTGTCTGGGAGGCCCCTGTCCTTCCGGCTCAGCTTTGCCTCCATAAGAGCTGTCATCCCTTTCATGCCTGTTGGCACCCGAGCTGGCAGGAACCCACCATCTTTTTCTGGGAAGTCACTTGGCTTAGAAAGATCTCGGTTGTTGAGGGATTCGTGTGCTAGTTATGTTTAGACCAGAGAGCAATGTCAGGGCCACTCCAGTTCCCAGATTCTAGACGTCCATAAAAGGCCACCCTTTACGACGTACTTAGAGAAAACCCTAAGCAAATTCATTGGATACCATTTCAATGCTTTGTCCAGCCCACTTTTAGTAAATACCCCCATCCCAGAGTTAGATGTGACTGCTGCTCTCGGGGCCCCCGCATGCGGGAGGGAACAGGCCGTGAGCTTGTTTGCGTCTCCTGTTTAACTGGTCTGGCCTCCGTGGTTCTCTAGCTATTAAGGATATGGGCATCGTTTAGACTCATTTGGACCCATAATGAATCTTGTTCTCTTGATATGCATTTTAGAAGACAAATCTGACCTTGAAAACAGTGTGATGCAGAAGAAAATAAAAATCCCCAAACTCTCTCTCAATCACATAGAAGACGATGGGGAGGTTAAAGATTACGGGGAAGAAGATTTACAGCTTAGACACATCAAGGTAACAAAATCTTTCCCTTTTTTGGAAGTACGTGGGAGCGTTCTCAGAGTTCTGACCGCTGAAGGTTCTAGCCTGGCCTCCTCTCCCTACTAGATGTCCCCTGGCGTCCCAGGTTAGGAGAGGGTCGCTGCCAGCCTCCCGGGGAGCCCTGACGCAGGCTGTGCCACCACGCGGGTCCCGTTTGCACCACCTACGCAGCGTCACCGCTGCCGAGGGTTTGGAGGGTGCGTGCCTCAGGTCCACAGCTCTGGAGGGGTCCCTGCTGGGCCCCAGGAGCACTGAGCACACAGTTCCCGGGCAGCAGTTCCCAGCGGGTCACTATCCGATTGCCCCAAACAGCGAGGGGTGGACTCCCTCAGAACAGGGTGAGCCAGGTTCACAGAAGGGGATTCATGGGTTGGAAGAGAACTTCTGCATGAGGTTGCATTTCCTTTGGTGTGCACCCCAGTTGGTCTCCTCCAGCCTTCACTTGTAAACCTAATGAAAACCCTATTCAACAAGCCAAGTGTTTTTTCTGTGTGATGGGTACCCCAGGGGAAGAGAAAGAGAGATGCCTTCTGCATTGACCATGGTCTGATTGTGGACACAAGGTCCAGGGCATTCCAAAGGTGTAATCCAAAGATGCAGCTGAGTTCAGACTATTCTTTCATTGCTCCCTGGCTTTGGCCCTGGCCCTGGGGTCATGGAGACAGCCAGATGTGGTCACTGCCCTTGGTCTCACGGTGCCGTGATGCAGACAGATATCTAAAACGGTCATCGGGATTTTAGCTGCTAAGTTCATCTAGACCAGCAGCATCTTATCCCAGCAGATAAAATGCCCCCACCCTGGGTGGAGAGTTCCTTGGTCCTGTCCCTCCCACTCCCCTCGGTGGAAGCTGCATCCTCAAGCAGGAACTTCCTCCAGCAGCTGGAGCCCCGCATGTCTGGGATGATTCTCTTCTCCATGAACCGTCCCCGCTGTGTCCACTGTCTTGTGGAGCTTCAGCTTAGCCAGAGTCCAGGGCGGGGCTGGTAGACACGGGGAAGGGCTCGGGCTGGAAATTGGGCTCCGAGTCCTGGTCTGGCTTCGTCGGTAGCTCACCCATGACCCTGAGACTAACCTTCCCCTCCCGGCCTTCGTTTTCTTACCTGTAAAAGGGGGGATTGAACAGAAGAACCTTTCAGCGTTCTCTGAACTTTTCAGTTAAGTAAACATTTATCATGCCCCTGCCAAGTGCCAGTCTGGGTAGGAGTGGAGAATGGGGAAACTAAGGCACGGTTGCCGCCCTAGATGAGAGTAGATGACATTCTTGACATCCTCCCCAATTAAAGCATTCTTAAGGAAAAGGTTACTTGATGGAATGCCCCTTTTCCACTTTTATGTTGTTGTTGAAGAGATTTGAGTGGTGACTGCCCTGGGGGACTTGGCTTGCCCTGATTTCTCCCTGATTCCCCATAAATACACATTGAAACCTTGTGAGCAGTCACTGCCTAGGCCCTGTGGGTGGGGTGGGGGCTGGGAGTTGGGGAGGGTGGTCATGGTATAATACGAGTCCCAGAGGCAGAGTGATGGAAGGGGAAAGTGCTGGCCTGGGAGACCGAGTGCTGGTTCTGCCCCCACCTGCCCTTGAGACTTTGGGCAAGACCCTCCCACTCTGCGCCTGTTTCCCCATTTGTAAAAGGAAGGGCTTTGACTGCATGTCTGCATGGGCTTCTCCAAGCACTGATGTTCTGTGGTTCTGTGATTCTAGGATTGTCTGGGGAAATATTGAGCTGCAGTCCAAGGAAAATCCCAGCTGCCCTTGCCTGAACTGATTCTCGTTGTCCTACAGAGACCCGAGGGGCGGAAGCCAAGCGACGTGGCACACAAGAGCATCGAGGCCGTGGTGGCCCGGCTGGAGAAGCAGAACGGCCTGAGCCTGGGCCACAGCACATGCCCAGAGGAGGTCTTCGTGGAGGCCTCGCCGGGCACGGAGGACATGGACAGCCTGGAGGATGCCGCGGTGCCCCGGGCTCTGTATGAGGAGCTGCTGCGCAACTACCAGCAGCAGCAGGAGGAGATGCGCCACGTGCAGCAGGAGCTGGAGCGGACTCGCAGGCAGCTGGTGCAGCAGGCCAAGAAGCTCAAGGAGTACGGGGCGCTCGTGTCCGAAATGAAGGAGCTCCGCGACCTCAACCGCAGGCTCCAGGACGTGCTGCTCCTGAGGCTCGGCAGCGGTGAGTGCCCGCCCGCCCTGCACACAGGCGGGTGCTTGGTGCAGCTCCACATCCAGGAGGGCACAGGGGAGGCGGGCCAAGTGCCCCGAGGCCAGGGAAGGGCAGAGACAGCTCAGCAGTCACCCCAAGGAAGAGCTGCCCCCTCCCGCAGCGAAGCTGACAGGAGCTTATAATCGCAGCAGCCGAGCACCTAGAGCACAGTGGGGACACGAGACGTGCAGCTCAGAGAACAAGTGGACAGAATGTTTGCCACTAGCCACTCATGGCATGCGTTCCCTCGGCCAGAGGCAGTGCCAGGGCTCATAGGAACCTCCGAGGAGGCTTTAGATAGTGAGGAGAACTAGAGGCAATCCTAAAAACGCCATTCCTGTACGTGAGAAAGTGGTACATGCCAGGGCAGCGATGTAGATGAAGCGGTAGGAGGGTTGAAAGGATGGAGAGGGTTTATTTGTAACCGAGGGAGCCTGCAGGGAGGAGGCAGGCCTTGACCAGGGCCTTGATGGTGGGGGGTGTTTAAGGCACAGGAGAAGGCTGAGTGGCAGCCCTGCGTCTGGAGAAACACCTGAGCATGCAAGAAACTCAACTGCAGGTGGGGTCTGAGGGCCAGTAACTGCGGGCTTTGGAAGCAGCACCAGCCTGGGGTATCTGGACGTGTCTTGGTGGGAATGAGAGGCATTGAAGAGCTTTGAGCAGAGTGTGTGGCCTTAGGAGATTAGCCCACAGATGTGTGGAGCTCCTCTGCTTCGCTCACAGGACTCAGGCTCATACTGCACCGATTTTAACAAACTGAGGTTTTAGGTTTTCTCATCTAACATGGTTTCAAAGCAGGAATAAGGGGAATGAAAGACGTCAGGCTTGACAGCAGGGAGAGATGACTGCTTACCGTGGTGGAGAGACAGAAACACCAGAACACAAGAGTCCAGGGTTATAAAGGGTAGAAGCCAGTCAGCATTGAGGAATCAGTGTAATGTAAGCCCATTCCCACCCCCCACCCCCCAGTCCTGCAGGCAGCCACGAATAGCCCTGGGTCAGTGTGCCTCGCTCAGAAAGGGGGCAGCCAGTGTTGACACCAGCCTGTCCCAGAGTTTAAAGTCAAGGGCCGTCTGGTGTTCAAGAAGGAGGTTCCCATGGTCTAGATCACAGATTCCTACGTGGAGCCTCATTCCTCTTTGACGTTAGATACATGTGCTCTCACTGCCTTACTTGTGTTGATAGATGCCCCTACGTCTTAAACTGTGTCTGTAAGGCAGTCATTTCTCAGTGGATCTTCAGGATGGCCCAGGGAAGGAACCGGAGTTTGGGACTCGCCCAGAGTTGCATAGAGAGACAGGGGCAGGGAGACAGGGGCAGGGGCTGAGCTTGTCTCAAACCTCATCTCTCAATTCCTAGGCTGGCAACTTCCTCACTCCTGACTCTGCCTTGGCCATGGCCATCCTTCCAGACCGCAGCCGAGGTACACAGTGGCGCTAAGTTACAATTCATAGGTAGCTTAGAAGGTTACTAAAATTTTTTTATCAAAATAAAATCTCAAAGAGAAACCCTAACTAAACATTTGTGAAAGCTGTGTTGGCTTGGGGTAGGGGATGAGGACCAACTGTAATTTTCAAAGAGAAAAGAGTGTCAGGTCCTCAGATGAGTCACTTTCTTTTCATCTCACTGTACACTATGCCTGTTGTAAACGTCTTGGGGAAAAGGCACAGTAACACAAACTCCCCCCCATGTTTTCCCGACTCCCATGGAAACTGCCTGTTTTGCAGGCGTGTGAACTGAGCTTAAACCCCAGAACCCACCCCTAAGCCTCTGAGGCAATATGATGCTCTGCATTGGTCATCAGCGTGTGCCTCTCTCATCTGAAAACATGTAGACAAACTTGACCCCAAGAGTAGTTTTGTGCCGAATCTTTCCAGGCTCACCCACCCCACAGGCCTCCAATGCCATGGTGACAGCCAACAGCTGGCTCTTCCCTGATCCTAGTCCCGGTCCTCATCACAGTGGGACGGACTGAATAGAAATCAGCTCAAACCATAAGCATGTGGAGTACCCGCCATTGGCAGTACCCCTGTTGTGAGCTCCACGGGCACCTCAGAAAATCACTCCCACTATCCTGACCTCTGAAAGTGTAAAGCCATTTACTAGCACTTGTTCATGGGAGGTGGGGACTGCGCCACGTTCTAAGACAGATCCACAAGATATAATCCATGGTCTCTATCGTAGGGGAAAGGTGGTTGCTTTCATGCGTCTAGTCTAATCTAGTCTCTAGAACCAGGCTTGATTAAGCCGCCAGCATCCTCACTTCCCGATTCTATGACTTTGGGAACCTTCTTTTCTTTCTCCTTCCTTTTCTTCTTTGCTTCCTTCCCTGCTTTTCTCTTTTCTTCCACAAATGTTTACTGGCCTCCTGCTGTGTGCCAGGCTTTTTGCCCGGTGTTAACATTTTGATTTATTGAAGCTACAGCCCTTGCCCAGCTAGAGAAACTCAAAGTGTCACTGACACAATCAGCGGCAGCACAGGGCATGCATGCCACCACAGGGACAGAAGCACACAGACCTGTGGGGAAGCGGGGAGGGCACCCACCGAATTTGGGGGGTCAGGGAAAAAATGCCTCCTGAAGGAAATGACTTTTGAGCTGGAGCCTGAAGGAAGGGAGGAATGAGTAGGTGGGAAGAGTGAGGAGCAGTCTTGGCAGAGAACACCTCTCTGAGCCTTGATGTTCTCACCTGTAAATGGGAATAATATCTTTCTCACAGCCTTGTGAGCCACTGCATAGGGCCTAGCATTGTGTCGATGCTCAATTACTGTTCGCTCCTTTTCCACACCGTTTAGTGGAGGGGCTAAGACAGAGCTTAGCTTGTTTTTTAACTCTGGCTTCCCCAACCAGTAATTGGCTGTATGACCTTGGACGGGTTAACTAACTTCTCTGCCTCCCTGGGTCTTCTATTATAGAAGACAAAAGGGGTTGTATATATGCATGTTCATTTGTTCATTTAATGACTCGGTTCATTCGTTCTGAGCCTAGGAACTTGGGGATATAAAAAGAAGGCTAAGACATTGGAAGTTGGGTAGGGGGTGGTGATGTAAGCATATAATTAAAATTCTAGGCTAGGGGCTAGCATTTGAAGTAGATCTATTTTTTGGTGAGTTTGGAAAGAAACACCCCATTGTAATAGCTCCTGGTCCATACATAACAGCCAGAAACCTAGAATAAGGCAAAGAACAGCCAGAAAGTACCCAGAGACCCTCTCTGATTCTCGGCTTGACACACCCTCTAAGCAGCACATCCTGGCCTGGGGTTGATGTGTGATCTGGGCTGTACCATCCTCGGTCCCCTGGGCCTTCGTGAGCATTGTTCTTGCAGGCCTGTGCTTGTGTGTTTTTTACACATCCACCTTGCCCAAGGGCCCGGCTCGAGGGCCTTTGTCCACCTTGAGGGCTGAATCATTCACACCGTAGCAGGCAGATTCCGAGATGAGGAAGGGCAGCAGGATAGGAGATGCTCAGTTTTAAACGGAAGGCTCCCTGCCAGGAAGAATCACTGCTCACTCTCCTAGGCATTGGGGCCTTCAGGCGGTGGGTGGGAGGGGCAGTGAGCAGGAGCCTGGCCTCCTGAGCCTAACGGGGATTTCAGAGTGGGAGCAGGTTCCTAGAAGCCAGGAGTACCTGGCTGGTGAACCTGGTGGAGGTTGGGGGCAAAGGGTTGGAACAGTAGCAAGAAGGTATGGGATGTTTCAGAGATGTCACTGGATGGCTCACCTCTTTGTTTATGCGTTTATTCGTTCTTTCTTTCATCTCATGAATAAACACAAAACAGATCTCACAGGAAACGATTCTCTGGAATAGGGAGGCATGGAGTGTGAGGAACCTTTGAGAGCATGTAGGCTGTCGGCCTCATGTTGCTGATGAGGAAACAGGCCAGGAAGTGTCATGGGCCCATTTTCAGGGGCCTCCTGACACTTGGTCCTGTGTCCTCTCTCTCATGGCCCTCATCCCACATGGCCTTCTTTAGTTCATGGGACACTATTGTCACTGACATGGAGGTGACCCCTTGGCACTACTCCCCACCCCCAAAGGGTGTCTCTCTCCTTCTCTATGATCTTAGCACGGAAAGCTGCCATCTCTGATGGAAGGAACCTCATCTGCCCTGCTCTCAGGACCTTTGTGACTGTAAAAATTAAATGAGGAAGCGTGTATAAAGAATACAGTAGTGTCCCCCCCCCCCCTGCTTTATTCACAGTTTTGCTTTCTTACCCATGGTCAACTGAGGTTCAAAAATATTAAATAGAAAATTCCAGAAATAAACAATTCATAACTTTAAATTGTGCGCCATTCTGAGTAGCCTGATGAAATCTCACTCCATCCTGTTGTGTCCCACCCAGGACATGAATCATTCCTTTGTCCAGACGAAGCGCACTGCGTGCACTGCCAGCCTATTAGTACTTAGTAGCCGTCTCGGTTATCAGATGACTGCGGTATTGCGGTGCTGTGTTAATGACCCTCATTTTACTTAATAACAGCCCCAAAGTGTAAGAGCAGTGATGATGGCAATTCAGATATGCCAAAGAAAAGCCATAAAGTGCTTCCTCTAAGAGAAAAGGTGTGTATGTATAGGGAAAAACATAGTACACATAGGGTTTGGTTCTATCTGCAGTTTCAGGCACCCACGGAGGGTCTTGGAACGGGTCCCTGTAAATAAGGGGAGACTGCTGTAGCGCCCGGGGACCAGCATATGCTGTGTCAGTCCCTTCTTCCTTTTCTTCCCTTCCTGCTCCCTCTCTCCCGACGAAGTAAATGCTGGGGATGCAAGAAGCATGAAGATACTCTAATTATAAAGTACAGCTTCATTTGTGTATAGACCCATTTCTTCATTCATTCATTCAGCAAACATTTATTGAGGGCATGCGTTGTGCGAGGACTGTGTTAGTTGCAGGAATATAGACATGAGTAAGACAATCCTTTTTAAACATTCCCCAGCTCGGGGTTAGGTAGTGTTTATTAAACTGGG